TTAGACTACTGGTCATTTGGGTTACAGGATTGGCTTTTGTGTTTTAACATTTGAGAAAAACTGTATTTATATTTTATTTGTGCACAGTTGGTGTGGAGCACACACAATTTCATTGTACATTCTACAATGACAATAAAGGACTACACACCCATTGCTCAACAACTTGTTAATTACAAGTCAGTCACTGAGTGTCTGGTTTACAATCAGCACACTTCAAAATGAGACTTCATAAACCAACATATGACATCACAATAGCTACATGCATCTTTTATACTCTCTATGGTAACAAGCTTTTTAGCTGCTTTCAATTAAAGGTACTTTTAAGGCCTATTGCAAATAAAAGTTGAACAACAGGTGAGTTGTCATCTTAATTCAATGTGGTCCTATAATTCACTCACTAACAATCACACTTCAATCAAAATATAAATACGGAATTATTTCTGACATGTCTCACAAATCACATAATATTAGCTGCGCCAAATGAATGTTCTGGGGTTCAGACCATATTTTATAACAATATATCCAAAAACTGTCAAGATATTTCAGTCCTCAATAAATCTACTCACAGCAAAGTCTGTGGGTAATTTTCACACAAACTAGTGAGTTTTAAAAAATTAAATGCGGTTGATCGTTATTGTATATCAGTGAAATATTGAATTAATGATATCACCATTAATATGTTGGGGGGTTAGGGTTAGGGTTAGTTAATATTGCAAATTAGAAAAAGTATAGTATAGTATGCTAGTTCCAATTAAAAACAGTTGTTTACAAAGGCAACAGAAATCAGTTAATATTTAGCAAGTATAATATATTTACCATGACCACACCTTACATTATCATGCTAAAATGTGCTTTAGCATTCAATATAAAAGTACAGCTGACAGCCATTTTAATGTTTTGGCTGCTAGTTTCAAGGAAATATCTATTATGCTGGGAAATCACGTAGCTCATGCCTTCATTTCTCTTAGGTTGGACTGGATATTGAGAAGCTTGGCAACCTGGAGTTTGGAGGAACAAGATCTACAGCATACAACTTTGCTGTAACCAAGAAGAGGGAGGACCGCTACACCTTCAGCACACATATAATCACCTGTAAACATTATAGGTAGAGTTTAAAGACTACTACAACATCTAATTTTTTAAATTTAAGTTTGATGTCTATTAATCTGTATTTTTTTTGTGTGTTTAGTTACCGTGTGTCCAACAGCCCTCCTCTCAGTGCTGAGTTCAGTAAAGATGTGGCCAGACTCCCAGCTACCTACAGCAATGCAACCAAAGCCCAGTACAGACACTTCATAGACACATACGGCACACATTATATTCGCCAGGTGATAAAATTAATATACACATCCCTTTAATTTTTTTTATACCATTCAGAAGTCGTTAAACCCATCCATCCATCCATCCATCCATCCATCCATCCATCCATCATCCATCCATCCATCCATCCATCCATCTTCATCCGCTTTATCCGGGGCAGCAGCCTAAGCAAAGAGGCCCAGACCTCCCTCTCCCCAGCCACCTCCTCCAGCTTATCCGGGGGAATACCAAGGCGTTCCCAGGCCAGCCGAGAGATATAATCTCTCCAGCGTGTCCTGGGTCTGCCCCGGGGCCTCCTCCCGGTGGGACATGCCTGGAACACCTCACCCAGGAGGCGCCCAGGGGGCATCCTTGTCAGATGCCCGAACCACCTCAGCTGGCTCCTTTCGATGTGGAGCAGCAGCTGCTCTACTCTGAGCCCCTCCCGGATGGCCGAACTTCTCACCCTATCTCTAAGGGAGAGGCCAGCCACCCTTCGGAGGAAGCTCATTTCTGCCGCTTGTATCCGCGATCTCGTTCTTTCGGTCACTACCCACAGCTCGTGGCCATAGGTGAGGGTAGGGACGTAGATCGACCGGTAAATTGAGAGCTTCGCTTTTACACTCAGCTCCCTCTTCACCACGATGGACCGGTGCAGCGTCTGCATTACTGCAGCTGCAGCCCCAATCCGTCTGTCGATCTCCGGCTCCCTTCTCCCATCACTCGCGAACAAGACCCCGAGATACTTGAACTCCTCCACTTGGGGCAGGAACTCATCCCCGACCCGGAGTGGGCACTCCACCCTTTTCCGGCTGAGAACCATGGCCTCAGATTTGGAGGTGCTGATCCTCATTCCCGCTGCTTCACACTCGGCTGCGAACCGTTCCAGTGCGAGCTGGAGGCCCTCACCCGATGAAGCCAACAGAACCACATCATCTGCAAAAATCAGAGATGAGATTCTGAGGCCACCAAAGCGAAAGCCCTCCGCCACTTGGCTGCGCCTAGAAATCCTGTCCATAAAAATTATGAACAGAACCGGAGACAAAGGGCAGCCCTGGCGGAGCCCATCACCCACCGGGAACGAGTCCGACTTATTGCCGGCAATGCGAACCAAGCTCTTGCAACGGTTGTATAGGGATCGAATGGCCCGTAGCAATGGGCCAGACACCCCATACTCCCGCAACACCTCCCACAGGACACCCCGAGGGACACGGTCGAATGCCTTCTCCAAGTCCACAAAACACATGTAGACTGGTTGGGCAAACTCCCATGCACCCTCAAGTATCCTGGAGAGGATAAAGA